GTGGTGGTGGTGGTAATAGAGTTGTAGTGTGTGAATGATGATGTAGTAGTGGTAGTAGTAATGTGTTTTGGTAGTAATAGTAGTAGCATCATTAATAGTTACAGGGTACACACACACACACACACACACACACACACACACACACACACACACACACAAAGCCACATATCCCAACCGTTAATGTGTGTATAATAATAATAATAATAATAATAATAATAATAATAATAATAATAATAATGGCTCGCAATTATAGAGTAGTGTTGAAAAATGTTGAATTATACTAATGTAGTTTGTTATAAAGTTAAGGGCAATTAATTCACATCAGGTAGGAGGATGTAGCTACCTGTGTCTCATTTATCATTCGTGAATCATGTGTGTGTGTGTGTGTGTGTGTGTGTGTGTGTGTGTGTGTGTGTGTGTGTGTGAAGGAAGAAGAGGACTTAAAATACTCTACAAAAAATGCATACCACACACACACACACACACACACACACACACACACACACACACACACACACACACACACACACACACACACACACCTTAATAACACAGGTGAGAGAGAAGAACAAAGGTGCGCCAATACCCCAGATGCTGTTTACATAGTCACACGCAACAGCCGACAAGACGCGCAGTAAACAATGATAAACAAACATAAACAAAGCAACACGGATTGAGACAAACACCTCAAAACAAATTAGACAAACAAGAGATATAAACAACACAAACAAGATAAACAAACAGGTAATAGGGAGATATAATAGATATAATTAGATAGACAAATTATGCAAACAAACTAACGAAAGGTAACAATCTATCTATCTATCTATCTATCTATCTATCTATCTATCTATCTATCTATCTATCTAATACAATACACCATTTACTTGTTTTCAATTGTTTTTTTACATGAATAGATAATGAAAGAAATGAAAGAAGTCACATGAATCAGATCAAATGAAAAAAAAAAAAAGTCGAAATTGAAGTATATTTTTTTTTTTATGTTTCACGATGGCAATTTTCATTTAACTTTTGCTATTGTTGCTTGCCTCTGCGACCATAAAAGAAAAAGTATATTGAAAAGTTTATTAAAAAAAGACCGAAAGAAATAGTAAGAATTTGAGAGTTTTTTTTTGGTATAGGTGTTCTGAGTCTATTTTATATCAATTTAAAGTTTGACTCTTCTTTAGTGTAAGTTTGGTAGTTAAGTTGAGAGAGAGAGAGAGAGAGAGAGAGATCACGCTACTTCCCCACCTTCATCAAATTGGATTGTAACCTAATGCTGACCTAACCCAACTAATCCTGACCTAACCCAACTAATCCTAACCTAACCAACCTAACATAACATAATTTAATCCACCTTTTACTGCACCCAATATTTATTAATTCCTTGAGGCTGACCAACTCATCTGGCGAGTGATAACTAAACAGCCAATTAGTGTGGGCGTAGGGGCGTGTGGGCGTAGGGGAGGAATTTGCATCTGTCAGTGTGTATGTCACCTTTGTAGTGTTTGTTGCTACAGGTGTGTTGAGAGTTAGTGTGTATGTGTCACCTCTGTAATTAGTGTTTGGACAGGTAAGCAGTTTGTACGTGTCACAAATTGTAAATAAGGAAATGTAAATTATTAGTATCTCTCTCTCTCTCTCTCTCTCTCTCTCTCTCTCTCTCTCTCTCTCTCTCTCATTGGCTTTTAAACCGCTTCCTCCTCCTCTTCTTCATTCTCTTTTACGAACTGATCTTCTCAGCTCAGGGTGTTAAGGCTCCTCCTCCTCCTCCTCCTCCTCCTCCTCCTCCTCGGTGTTAAGACTCTTCCTCCACCACATAGCTCCTTCTTCTTCCTCATCTTCCTATTCTTTTTCTTCTTCTTCTTCTCTCCTCCCTCCTCCTGGGTGTTAAGCCATAGTGTAATCCTTGACTGTACAATAAATCTGAAAAAATCCGCCGTAATCCTGAGTGAGGTGGAGTGTGTGTGTGTGTGTGTGTGTGTGTGTGTGTGTGTGTGTGTGTGTGTGTGTGTCTTTTTATATTTCTTTCTCAATCATAAATTCTCTCTCTCTCTCTCTCTCTCTCTCTCTCTCTCTCTCTCTCTCTCTCTCTCTCTCTCTCTCTCTTAACCATATTATCACATCAAAGGAGAAATTTATTTGTCCGTGTCTTGTCAGAAATATATAATTAGATATCTTTTATGACATCTTCCTGTTTCTACTTAATAGAAGAGAGAGAGAGAGAAGAGAGGCGGACACATATTTCACACTTTACTTAAATTCTGGGGCTTTCAACTTAAAGAAAGAAAGAGAGTCATCGTACTCAAGGGGTTAAATTATCGTGCTTAAAGGGTTAAGTTATCGTACTCAAGGGGTACTCCTGGCGTGAGAGGGGAAAGGTATAGAACAGCTGCTGGGAGAAGATGAAGCCTCTCTCTCTCTCTCTCTCTCTCTCTCTCTCTCTCTCTCTCTCTCCGGGGGTGAGGGAGGGTGGTTTCCGTGATGGGTGGTTATTAGGGTGTCCTGCGTGTGTGGTTATACTGGCCCCGCCCATCTTAGCCCACCCACTGCCCACCTTAGCCCACCTACCTTGTTCTATCACCTGACCCACCTGCTTCCAATCTTACTCACCCTTCCACGCACACCACCTGATCCAACCCACTGCCTTCATGTCTAACCCACCGCCCTTCTGTCTAATCCACCGCCCATATTACCCACCCACTCACATTACCCACCCACACACTCTTACCCACCCACCTATCTTACCCACACACCTTATCCACCCACCCACACATCTTGCCCACCTACCTGACCCACCTGACTCGTTTGACCCGCCCACCTGGCCCTCTCCCGTGTCCACTACCTCCAGCGGGCCATAAACAGTATCGGGGTCCACCTCCTGTGTGTTAGGCCTTGTGGACGCTCTGTGTATGTATGTATGTATGTATGAATGTATGTATGTATGTTTGTATGTATGTATGTATGTATGTATGTATGTATGTATGTACACACTAAGGTATTGTCAGCTCTGCTATTTAACGTTTGTAATAAGGTACGTAAATAGTATTGTGTCAAAACATTACATTTTGACCTGAAATATAGTTTATAGTATAATATATGATATAAACTCAATCATATACTTATATCAATATATTTCCTCCACCTCAAGTCTCAGAGTATTTTCGGCGCCATTTTATTACCATTGATGTAAGTTAATGAGGCAGGTCAGGTAGTTTTCACACCTGTGTTAAAGAGACCAAAAATAAATAAATACTAACGTTTTGAGACGCTGAAGGGTAGGTTAGGTGAGGTGAGGTGAGGCTTTTTAGTATAGTCACAGTACACAAGTTCCGCCATTTCTTAAGATGTTGGTGTGTGTTAATGTGAGTTAGTGTGTCCTTACCTGGGAGGAGAACGAACCTTTGTGTGTACACCTGTGACCTTCCCTTACCTGTCACCTGTCACTGCCACACACCTGCTGTCACCTGCAACCACACACCTGTTACCTGGCTATGAGAACTCGGGTCAAGGCTGGCTGGAAACTGACCATGTATATATATATATATATATATATATATATATATATATATATATATATATATATATATATATATATATATATATAGAGAGAGAGAGAGAGAGAATTGATTACATATAGTTAGATATTCAAGGGGAATATATACATTGTTTAATGAAATTTTTTTTAATGATTACTCTCTCTCTCTCTCTCTCTCTCTCACACACACATCACCACAGGTAAAATAACATTACTTAGCAACGCCCACAGGTTCCCCGTCTCGTGTAAATAACATGTTATTGCCCCGAGATAATCCTGAAACTCACCGCCTCTTCTCTACATATTGGTAAACATTCAAAGCCTTTGACGTCAATTCCTATTGTCACGCGAGTGGCTGTGACGTCAGAGGAGGCAATAATGAGGAACTTGTGGCTAAAATAGATGGTCTTTTGTGTTTGGGTTTGTTTATTTTTTGCTTTTTGTGACCTCACCTCACCTACTCTAACCTAACCTCACCTATCTAATCACCATAGATAATGACAATAAATCTATCTATATCATTAACAACCATTTAACTAACTCTAGTCAATCCATTTTAACTAATTATTTACTTCACTAAAATACGACTCGCAAAATAAAGGCATCTGGCAACACCGCGCAGTTCCAGGAATTATGGAGGGCGGGAGTCAGTGTTTCTTTTACAGTCGGAGGTGCATGTACGATTTTTTTTTCTCTCTCCCTTTTTGGACATAAACATAACATAGACCCAGACCGAAACTTGGACTTTGTTAGAGAATGAAAGAAAAAGAATTAATGGTCAGTTCACATTTTCCAAACGTTCACAGATCCTGCCTGACTCTGTGGTAGGTATTTAAGTCAGACGGTAGGTATTTTGAGTCAGTTGGTGGGTATATGAGTCAGGTGATGGGGTATTTGAATAAGTTGGTGGGTATTTCGAGTCAGGTGGTGGGTATTTTGACTCAGGCAGAAGAACCAGAATCAAGCATACTGTAGGAGATCATCACCCCACTAGGAGACCATCATCACCCCACTAGGAGACCATCATCACCCCACTAGGAGACCATCATCACCCCACTAGGAGACCGGCACCCCACTAGGAGATAAGAAGATAATGTACTCGACTCAGTGGAAGGGAACTCCTGTGTAACGTGGCCCTTGTTCCTGGGGGTGTGTGTGTGTGTGTGTGTGTGTGTGTGTTCTTTTAGGATATGTTTTGGGTGTGTGTATATGTGTATGACTGTGTATAAATATATGTACTACCTTAAACGATACCTTGCTCACAGGTGTCGATGGAGGGACACACACACACACACACACACACACACCAAAATATTTCCGAACCTTGAAATAGGGTGAATATATCTCCACCTTCTCCTCGTGCGCGTCTACACATTGCTCTGGGTTGTCTCGTCTTTTACCACACTTCTCTTATTTTGAAATAGTTTCCGCCCTGATACCGTTTTCTCTTTTATTCCAGACATTCAAGAATTCTATGAAATAACGCTTTTGGACGACAGCAAGAGTGTTCAGCAGAAGACGGCGGAAACCCTTCAAATAGCCTCAAAGTGGGAGATAAACAGTGGACCGATGACGCCTCACATAACCTGCACCAAAGATGTGAGTTACCCCTTGAAATTTTCTGTTTTTTGTTTATTCATAGAAAATGTAGTTGTGTGGAGGGTAAACTTTTATATTTTTTCTTGTATTTGGTGTTTGTCGGTTTACATGTTCAAGGGCGGATCCAGGATTATCAAAAGGGGGTTCCAAGAAGATGGGGGTGGGGGAACATGGCGAGCACAGTGAGCCTACCCAGCTAGGATGTGGGCACCCCAGAATTTTTTAATTATTTTTTATCTGACCAATATCATGGACATTTTGAGGTCATGTGCACTGGCTATTAGGAGATATTCTGAGGTCAATAGTAAATAATTTTGACTATAAAAAAAACGCCTGAGTACAATACTGAATTAAATAAAAAGTATTGGAATTTTCTACTCAAAAGGGGGGAACACATGACCCCTGGATCCGCCCTTGAATGTTCTAGTCTGTATAACGAGATAGAGATGGGTTATATTTTTTTTTTCGAGGTTGTGTGATCCAATTTTTTTATTCTAACTGAAAGAAAAAAAATTCTTAACGTAACTATTTAGCTTCAATAACAACAACAACAACAACAACAACAAAAGTGTGAAATGAAGAAGAAACAATTTTACCACGAAACTTATATCCAATAGGTCGTGTGTGTGTGTGTGTGTGTGTGTGTGTGTGTGTGTGTGTGTGCTGCAACAATATCGGCGTAAATTCAATACCGCGACCAACACCAGATGCTGTTGTTTATTGTCTTGAGGTGACAGGTATATGCATCTCCTGCCGTCTGTCTGTCTTTCTGTCTGTTCAAGGTTATTTTCGGATTGGTTAGGTTAGGTTGGGTTAGGTCAGGTCAGGTCACATCTTATTAGATTTAAGTTTGGCTAGGTTAGATCAGGTTTGGTTTGGTTACTTTACATTGGGTCTCATTAGATTAAGTTTGGTTAGGTCAGGTTTAGTTAGGTTTAAGTTAGGTTAGGTTAGGTTACGTTAGGTTAGGTTAGGTTAGGGTCTATTTCCTGTGTGTTGCTGTAGGTTCTTTTAGGTTAGGTTAGGGAGGAGGGCTTGGTCAGGGGATGTCAGGGGTGTGAGTGTCGTCTGCAGTGCTTAAGAATCGTACGCAACTGAGATGTACTCGCTCCCCCCAAAAAAGTATCTTCACGGTTTGATGTGAGACAATATGACACAACGGACGAAGGATTTTGACAACCCTACCGAGACAACAGGAGTCACAGTGTTCATTATGACATTCATCGCTCACCTCCGTTAAGATACTTTATTTTGTTTGCGGTTGATACATTTAAGACAATATTTGTTGATGTTATTAATACAAGGAATGAATGAGAATGATAATAATATGAATGAGAAGTGTTTCATCTGTAAAGTAGAATGATAAGAAAGTGCAAGGAGAAGAAAATATAAAAAAATAGTTAGAAATCCCATAAATTTACAGAAATTATTTACGAAAGGAAAAAGTTTTGTGATAAAATATGAGTTTTTCCTTTTTTTCTTTTTTTTTTTGGACCAGAACACGCGAGGGAAGAAAAGCGCCACAGTTCTCCGATTTTTAGAGCGAAGCATTTGTGTCACGCAGCGCAGTTTTACGGTCGCCGCGGTCACACAACTACCCCGGGTCAGTCCGTCAAACCCGAAGGAAAATATTGAATGACATATATTGAAACGGAACAAGGGTTTTTAAAATGCATTCTCATTTAGCGTGAAGCACCTTTACTCCTGCAGGTGTTTTAGAGTTACGGGGAAATCAGCGCTAAAGGGAACCAACCGCTGGGAGTGGTAATCACCGCTGGGCCAGTGAGAAGACCGCCCTTAACCGCACCGTCATCATGCGGCCCCTTCATCTTAGGGTCACGACCTCATGAGAAAAGTTTGGTGATTAAGAAGCCCGTGTTGGGTGGTCCGCCCTCGTCAGGAGCGCTCACCCTGGCATTAGCAAGACCCTGGCGTACCCCTTGGGAATATTCTTTTTTTTTCTCTCGTTGTCCTGTGTGTGTGTGTGTGTGTGTGTATTTTGTATGTAAGTGTATTATATGACTGCGTGTGTGTATGTTTGTATCTTATGACTGCCTGTGTACGTATATATGTGTGTTTGTGTTTGTTTGGGCAGGTAAGGTAGGGCTCAGGTGTGCTGTGGGAATAATTAATGTGGCCCAGGTAGGCGAGTGTTGCCAGAGGTCATTTTTGTCTTCAGTTTACCTGCCGGGTTTTTATTTCCACCGATTTTTTGGGGGTGGTTTTGTAAAAGTTTTCATTTGGAATTCATATAATGTTTTTCTTATTCAGTGTGTGTGTGTGTGTCTGTGTGTGTGTGAGATAATACTAATAAATAATAGTAATAATAATAATAATAATAATAATAATAATATTAATAATTAACTGTTTATTAAGATAACATGGCAGCCCGAAGGCTGAAAATATACAATGAACAGAGATGATAAGTTACATATGGTGAAATCGGGGAGTGGGTCACTTGATTGACAAAAGCTTTCGAACGAAAACATAAGAAACATAGAGTCAACATACAGATTAACTTTAGATCTGGTACTGTGGGAGCTGGTCTGATGTCGGCGCCAACAAAGTCCTCCTCACTGTCTTGATGGCCGTTGTACCTGACTGCTAAGCTGCTACCTCACTACAGCTGCATATGTACCACGTGGTCTGGGTAGGTCCTCCAGTGTAAAGGCCTGGGACTTAGGGATAGAAATCCCTTACCAGCCTAATCAGGATCTTAAAAACGGAAAGTCAAGGACCATGGTTTTCTGAGGAATAACAAACAACCGTTTGAGATTGACATCTCTTTACTATAAAAATATAACACCACTCAACAAACATGAAATAACAATTACGGGAGTCAAACAATTAATTGAATCAAACAATTAATGGAAGCAAACAATTAATGGAAGTCAACAACTGATGGAATCAAACAATTAATGGGAGTCAGCAATTAATGGAATCAAACAATTAAATGGAATCAAACAAACAAGAGAATCAAACAATGAACAGATATTTCCTACGGCAGTGGCCCTGGGGAAGGTTCTGGAACGCTGTGATCCACTCTCACTCTCAGGGGGAAGGTCCACTCAGCTCCTCACTGAGCGACAGCGGCCGATGTCTTGATACAGCGGGAGAAACACCGGGCACAGACGGAGGAGACGGACTGACGGTTGTGGCAGCCGAGGTAGTGGTTTGGGTAGGTGTCCAGAGATTAACAGACGAATTGTGAAAGGTCTGGGCAAACAGCCCACGAGTTCAGAGCCTTTGATGAGATCACAGCCAGAATTTGACGAACAGCGGGGAAGTAGTGACTGAATTGACGGCTGGGTAGAATCTGAGGCGGTGTCACTGTTAGCAGCGACGTTCTCACCTTTGTCTAACCCCCCCCCCCCCAAGTGGGGGTCGCGCCAGCAAACGAGCAAGTGATTAGCGGTAACGAGCAGGAAGATCGTTTCCGCCCTTACATCCAGCTCACACAGGGTGTTGGAGATGGTTCTTGTTCCTCATGTGATGTAGTTAGGAATTCATAGTTCCTCACCTGGATGGAGTAGGGAGTCCTCATTCCTCTCCTGGTGTAGTTTGGAGTGTTTCCTGGCTTCTTGTCCAGTGTTGGGGGTGGCGAGTGTACCGCGGGCTGGGTGTGTCGGGTCAAGGTGTCAGGTCAACATTGGCCGCTAAGTCTTGTGTCGCTCTAACAGTTGTTTCTTCCTTTCGAGTTGAAATTGTCACTTATGTATATCAGTTATGGGTTGATCGTCAATCTTTACACTGTACTGTTGGTGGGAGGATGTTGATAAATCCAGGTGGGGAGGAGGAGATGGGGAAAGGGAAGGCCCAACAGACCAGGCTGGCAGCTGTCTCCATGGTCAAGAGACCACGGCCGCGTGAGAGGGCAGCGCCGACTACACACGTCCTTACCCTATGAAGGCTGAAGGAAGTGTGTGTGTGTGTGTTCTTTCAGATCATATCAGGTAGTCTCAAGTCGTTTGAGATCGTCTAAGGTAGTTTCAAGTCGTCACGTGTTGTTTCAGGTCGTCTCAAGTCGTCCCAGGTCGTCTTAAGTCGTTTAGTGTCGTCTCAGGTCATCTTAATTCGTACTTGAGCTTAGACACACAGGCCTAAGGGACCCCACGTTGCTTAGTCTCACCCCTCACCTCACCTTACCTCACCCTAACTCACTACTCATCTTTCACCTCACATCTCACCTTACCACTGAACTCCCCTCACCTCTCTCCTCACCTCACCTCACCACTTACCTCACCTCTCCTTAACTCCTCCTCATCCCTCACCTCACCTTTCACCTCACCTCTCACTTCACCTCTCACCTCACCACTCACCTCACCACTCACCTCACCACTCACCTCACCTTTCACCTCACCTCACCACTCACCTCACCACTCACCTCTCTCCTCACCTCTCACCTACATTACTACATTCAGCATTTCCATCACCGTCTGAACCATTCGTGTTGAAGTAACGTTTTGGCCAGGTAGGAGCTCTGGGCGGGACCTGAGGCCTTTGGTGTCGAGAGGGAGGGAAAGGGAGAGGTAAGGGGCGGAGAGGGAGAGGAGTGGGAAGTGGAGAGAAGGATGAGGAGTGGGAGGGAAAAGAGAGCGGGGAGGAATTGAAGGAGAGAGGAGTTGGAGGGAAGTGGAGAGAAAGGGAGACGAGTGGGGAGGAGAAGGGAGTAGGGGGAAAAGGGGGGAGGGAAGGGTGAGTAGTGATAGAGATGGAGGGGAGGGGTGAGGAAATGGCAAGGAAGAAAGAAGGAAGGAAGGAAGGAAAGGGGTAGAGGAGAGGGGGGTTGGAGGAGAGAAGGTTTAATGATGTGGGAAAGAAGTGGGAGGGAAGAGTAGTGAAGGGAACTGGTGAAGGGAGATATGGAAGGGGGAGGAAGTGGGAGGGATTGAAAGGGGAGGGTTGGAAGGGGGAGTAAGTGTGTGTGTGTGTGAATAAGCTTCCTCTGCTGACCGGTGTAACAACTGTGGGTTCTATGCTGTTCCAGACTAACAAAGCTGCTGTTATTTCTATGCTGTTCCACCTCTTCCACATTTCCCTTTCTCCTTCTCGTTTATTTAATTTATTATTTTACCATTATTTATTTTTCTTTTTGTTGTGATTTTTCCCTTTCTGTGTAAACAACTTTTTATATCGTTTTTGTTTTTTCATTTATTTCTCTCTCTCTCTCTCTCTCTCTCTCTCTCTCTCTCTCTCTCTCTCTCTCTCTTTGATGTCCAGCTCTTTCTGCGTTTCAGTTTCTCCCATTCTTTTTAACTGTGTTTTTCCAGGCGCTCTGTTCACAGCCTGTCCTGTTCCATTGTGCATCTCTTCCAGGCTTCCCTTCCAGATATATTCCTTTTCCAGCTGTCCCTTTTCCATACTCCCCTTCCAGAGACATTCCCTTCCCGGCGTCACTTTCCCATGCGCCACTCTTCCAGTCGTTCCATTAAAGGCTTCTCTTTCCAGGATTCCTAATGTTTAAGGCTTCCTTTTGGTACAGTTTGATTTAGAGGTTTCCTTGCCCGTCCAGGCTTCACTGCCCTTCTCGGCTTCCCTGATATTCGAGGCGTCAGAGTCGTACCTTCATGGTCGTGCCTTTATGGTCGTACCTTCATAGTCGTGCCCTTATGGTCGTACGTTTATGATCGTGCTCTGAAAACGGTACACTTAAGGTCGTACTTACAGAGTCGTACCTTCAGAGTCGTACCTATAGGGTCGTCCTCCAGCTGCGGTACACGTCACGACTCTCTCTCTCTCTCTCTCTCTCTCTCTCTCTCTCTCTCTCTCTCATCCCTGTCCAAACTTTACCTCGTTTAGCTCTGGTATAATGGTGCCCGGTGGAGTGTTAATGAGAGAGAGAGAGAGAGAGAGAGAGAGAGAGAGTTAGCTCACACACCTCTTAATGACTCTCACAACTCTTCCCTAAGAGTGTGAAGTCTAACAAGAAGTTTGATCCTCAGTTTGTGAACTTCCTTCCTTTCTTCCTTCCCCTCTTCCTTCCTTCCTTCCTTCCTTCCTTCCTTCCTTCCTTCCTTCCTTCCTTCCTTTCCTTCCTCCCTCCCTCCCTCCGTCCTTCCTTTCCTCCTTCTCTCCCCCCCCGCCCCCCAGGGAGAGGAGTATCTTATTGCCTCCCTGACTCTCACAGGAACACTGTCATGGTGAACTTCCTGAGTCATACAAAACCAGGGAGATTAACTTACTAAGTCCCCCCGACGTTCACAAGTCCAAGGAGACTATCTAAGCAAACTCCCTGACGCTCACAAGTCCAGGGAGATTATCTAAACAAACTCCCTGACGCCCATAATAATAAGGGGATTATTTTAATGAACTCCCTAACTCTCATACTCTCAGGGAGATTATGTAAACAAACTCCCTGATTCCCGTCACACCAGGGTGATTGTCTTACCTCTCTGACTTTTACAAGATCAGGGAAAGGTCGTCGGGTGTTATGCTCCCTGGCTCCCTCCGTCACCCCCACCCCCCTGGGACATTAACCGGATGAGTAATCTCCCTTGTGGATAGCTTAACACCCTGGGAACTGACCATTGGCTGGTGTTAACAGTGCTTGTCCATTATCTCTCTCTCTCTCTCTCTCTCTCTCTCTCTCTCTCTCTCTCTCTCTCAAGAAGGACTTCCATCTCCATGAACATTATTTCCCAACCTTATCTCCATCAGCATTATTTCCTTATCTTCTTCAGCATTATTTCCCAACCTCCATCAGCATTATTTCCCTATCTCCATCAGCGTCAGCAGTGAGAGAAATTTCACCTTCTTACCAACAATAAATCGCCAGAATAACACAAGTTGGGGCCCGGTACACAGCGGGTGGGTCGGCCGAAGCAAGATTCTCCAAACTGTGTCATGTATTGCAGAGACAACGTAAATGGAGTGAGTGTGTGGTGGAGGGAGTGTGTGGTGGAGGGAGTGTGTGGTGGAGGGAGTGTGTGGTGGAGGGAGTGTGTGGTGTATAGAGACTGTATTAATATATGCCAGTGTTTGTGTACAGTATTCTCCTGTATGTCTGTATAAAAAAATATTAAGATTTTTGCAATGTAACTTATTCCGGCAATGTATCTATTGTAATGTAGTGGTATGTAGTGGTAATATACGCAATATATCGGCAATATGCCCATTATATCGGCCATATACCCATTATATCGGACATATACCCATTATATCGGCCATATACCCATTATATCGGTAATTCTTCCCATAAACCAACAGTATACCTATAACTCATCAATCTACCCGATATACCGGCAAGATATTCGATAAATCGGCAATATACCCGATAAGCCGGCAGTATACCCGACCTTGATAAAACATCCGGTGCCGGCAATTTAGCGGGTTTGTCCCGGGTTGCCGGTCGATGTCCGGTGTCTCTCACAGGACAAATAACTGTCCGGAGGGAAGATTTATGACCGGCCAGACCTCACTCTCTCCTCTCCCACGGGATGCTGTGTGGGTGGGAGGGGATGGGTGGAGTGGGATGGAACGGAAGGTGGAGAGGGAGGGGATGAGTGGAGAGGGAGAGGGAATAGAGTTGGAGGGTGGATAGAGTTGAAAGGGAGGATATAGACGGGGATAGAGAGGGAGAGAAAGAATGGAGAGGGAAGGGTAGAAGATAGAAAGGGAAAGGAAGGGAGGGAAGACGAAGGATAGATAAGAAAATTGGAGATGTTTAATGAGAGAGATAGACCGAGAGACAGACAGACAGACAGACAGACAGACAAACGATTACAGATACATTTTGATAGACAGACAGACATTCACGTCAGCCTGCTACAGACGTTAACATATGCATCAGCTGACCGCCTGAATAATCTCCCACAGTCGTCCTGGTAAAAAAAAAATGGATGCTGAGTTGTTTTATTCCCAGGATGTCAATATTGTCCTTCTAGACTGTGACAGCTTGTGTTTTTTTATAGGATGAACGACAGGAAGGATAGTAACAGCCAAGAGGTGTGTGTGTGTGTGTGTGTGTGTGTGTGTGTGTGTGTGTGTGTGTGTGCTAACCTAACCTAACCTAACTAAACCATATCAATTCTAACCTAACTTAAACTATCCCCACCCTCAGGTAACTCGTAAGATATGTAATCATCAGGTGAAATAAATTACGGGGGAACTAATCTTCAGGCGATCAGTTTTATTTTTCTCTCCGGGAACTAAACGTCTCAGTCTACGTTCCTCCCATTAAGCCATTTTTGCCCATTTTCTTTGGTGACGGCATGATCTGATCACAGAAAACGGATACAAAGAGAACATACCCTATTTTATTTTATCTTATTTAACCCCACCCACCTACCTATTTGTCTGCCTGTCTGTATCTTTCGTAAATTAATAATGTAGAATGTACAGTCCAATCATTAGATGAATGTTGTTATGCAAGTGTTCTGAGATCCACATTCTTGTAGATCATACACAACGCGATCATTCCACTCGTATCCCCAGGTCTCACACACACACACACACACACACACACACACACACACACACACACACACACACACACACACACACACACACACACACACACACACACGCACACGCAACACACACACACAACACACACACACACAGAGGTTATTATACTGTACTTGTTTAGTGTAATGATAGTTGGTGTTGCAATCTGTAGTAATCTTGCACGTTAGTCACTGAAGCATAAGGTCTTGGTAACAGTACTCGTGACGTTTATGTTATCTGTGTAGAAGTTGACGATGGAAACACAAGATTGAAATTATTGTTTTAATAAATAATGATTAACTATACATGCTGACGTCTATACAAGAAAAAATTATTAACATACATTAACATTTATTAACAGTTTGTGCTCACATTGTGCAGTTGAAAGTGAATAATGGTAAAGTATATACATTATCTGTACATATTTACAAATAAACACAATAATATATAAGTCAACATTGAGTATTTGTGTCCCGTTACTTTATGTAGTTAACAGTCAGTTGAAGGGAACATAGAGACTGTTCTCACTCTCGTGGGCGGAACCTCTGTTGGCCATCCACCCACCACCCACCCTCACATCCACACCTCCTTCATCCATTGTGTTGGACGGATGCCCGTAGATCACAGGGCCGAGATCATCCACCTCCTCGTAGATGTGGTCCTGTAGATCAATCTCTTCCTCGGAGTGCCGGTCGGGAGAGCAGTGAGGGCCGCTGTAGTTCACTTTCCCTTGTTTCTCTTGTTTCTGCTGAAACTTATTTTCCTTTTTCTGGTTCATCTTCCTAACTACCAGGAATGTTATGATGGTGATGATGATGACCGCAACTATGGCTGTTATGATGACTGGGACATACCAGGGAAGACCGGGGTTATTTGGGGCTTTTCTCGAGTCGTCGACGGGTGAGTTTTCTGAAGAGGTTTTGGCTTCTTCGTCTTCTGTGATGACTGGCGCCTGTGGTGGATGAAGACCCGCGGGTGTTGACGTTGATTGCGCGTCCTTGGCTTGATCTGGTGATGGTCGACCTGGCGAGCTTCTTGGTGGTGGTGGTCGTAGTGTTGGTGGCTGTGTTGAAGGAGGGAAAAACTCACTGGGATTACAACTGAGAGCAAAGAATGCATTTCCACTGATGAAGATTTCAATTTTTTGGGCTCTGTTGAAGTTAATAGTCAGCGTTCTCTGTATATCTCTGTCTATACTTAAGCGATACGTTGCTTGTACTAATCCCTCGCTCTTACTCATCTTTATATTGTACCATTTGTCAGTCTGGCTCAAGATCTGCTTACTAACTTTAATGTTTCCACTAGATACAATATATGGTATTACCTTGACTTGTAAGAAGTTGAAGTCCTGGCCGGGTTTAAGGTAGAATGAGAAGTCTGCCGAATCGGGTTCCACAGCAAGACACTTTTTGTTACCATATGGCGTGGTGAGGCTATAGGTTTGGCAGCCATGGTGGTCGTTGGTGGTGCTAGAACAGGTCTGGCAGGCCGCGGGCAGCACCACAGTGTACAGCACCGCCAGGCCCTGCACCGAGTGTCTCAGCATCTTGATGATGGTTGCACCTGCCTCTCTCTCACCTCTGACTCACTAATGTTATTATGCTCAGAGGTTTGCAAGAGTTGATGTCGTTCTTACAAGTCACGAACTCGTATTAATGGATCTTGAAGAAGACAAACAATTGTTCTGTTACACTTTCTCGATAATCACATTCGTGTTGGTGTAGTCTGGAGAGATTTGAGGACAAAATCTATCACGTATCTCCCAAGACCTTAAAGACATTGTTCTCTCGTCTTCACTGAGCACCGTGACGGAGGAGCCTCAGTAACTGACGCCAGACACACGCCACAACACACAAGTCCTAAAGCACACCTTAGAGCGTCGTACTTATGTTGTGTCCTTAAGCTGACCAGTGTGAGCCAGAGGGGAGGGCGTCGCTTTGTTATATCCTCGACGCAGTGGCCCTTGGAGTTAGTCACTTCCTGTAACTTCACCTTGATAGAACTGGACCAGGACAGTGTCAACACAACCAGACGACCGAGCTACAGGAAATAGTCTTAAGACCTCTGAGCAAAGTGTTTATATTTGTTTGAAAGTTCCCTCCGCCGCTCACGGTTTCAGTCTATCTAATTATTAAGTTTTTATTCGATTCAGTTTTAAATGTGTTTAATAATTAGTGGTCTTCCTTATAACTCGTGTTGTGTGCCACTTGGTTTAGTCATCAGTTCGAGCATCAATAGTTAAGGACTATTGAGAAGTGATCAACGTGTGTTAGTGTTGTTAAAGCGGAAGGTCTTTGTTATTGTGCCGTGACTGCGAGGCGTCAACTCCAGCACTGACGCACTTACTGGGGAACTCCACTTTCTAATGGCGGGTGGTCGTCCTCCTTCGGTTATTGCTCTCACAGCTGGGCCTCGGAGGGATGTTTCTTGGTACTTTTGTCTCGTTATTTTTAATGGAAATGTAAGAATATTTCTCCTTTTTGTGTATATATATATATATATATATATATATATATATATATATATATATATATATATATATATATATATATATATATATATATATATATATATATATATATATATATATGTATATATGTATATATATACTTCATTTTTAGTCCATATAACACGCGGACTTTGAACATATAATCAACGACCTCACCAGCATGGAATCGAACCCTCGACCTACTGGGTGGAACTAGGGAACGCTTACCGGCTAGGCCACAAGGACACTAAAAGCAGTTCTAGACTCTGTTATATTTCACACAAAGCCTGTTCATCGAGCTAATGGCGCCGTGAACCTCATTGGGAAACTGCCCGTGCCTCTTATGTGGTGTCAGTAGCATTTTACCGAATCCAGCTGGTATGAAACGCGAGGTACATATAACATTATTTTATTCTAGAACACTGAACCCCGACCCAGCACAGGCCCAGCGGTAAGCGTTCCTAGTTCCACCCAGTAGGTCGAGGGTTCGATTCCATGCTGGTGAGGTCGTTGATTATATGTTCAAAGTCCGCGTTATATGGACTAAATATATATATATATATATATATATATATATATATATATATATATATATATATATATATATATATATATATATATATATATGCAAGTAAATCACTGTAGGTGCGTGATCCAGGTATATGCTGATATGCTTAGTCTGAACTCACCCTGAAGATGTGAATTATACGAAAGCGCTTGGGAGCTTGTGTTTTTTTCTCTTGTGGTTTTCATATATATATATATATATATATATATATATATATATATATATATATATATATATTAGTAGAAGAATAAGTAATAATAGGACAAGAAAGTATTGTCTCACGAGATACACTCTACTTTTGTGACCATTGTGTTGTCTTGCGTTCATGTCAAGAAGGAACATCATCATCCTGTTGTGACTAATTTGTAGCCTGGCTTTTGAATTACATGTTAAGTAAGAGTACCTTGAGTAGGAATAGTCCAAAGGTTATTTTATGAGCACCAAGCAAAGGTGTCTTGGGGCACCAGCAGAGGCATTTGTCATTTCCAAGAGTATTTTTTATCTTGGCTTTACTTTTGTTTAATATATTATCTAAGGTTATTTCTCCAGATGCACAACACTTAATAGCTAGTCCAAGGTGCTTCACTGACTTGTATTGCTGCACACACACACACACACACACACTTGGAGCTGGCGGACGCTCGCCTCAAAGGCACAGCTCAAGGTTGAAAAAGCCAAAAATCCAGAAAACTGTGAGGGCAAACTTTTCCGGAGTGAGAGTTGTGAACTGTTGGAACAACCTGCCAGAGAGTGTTGTGACGGCACCGAGTGTGAGCTGTTTCCAGACCAGACTTGACCAACACTGGAGCAGGTTCAGATATATTCACGAGCCAGTACATGCATGCCTAGTACTTGCCAACAGTGCTTAACAGAGACGTTACCGATCGCCCAAGCGGCTTACGAGCCGATCAGTGGTGAAGAGGATAAAAGTAAAAGATAGTTGGTGTTGCAGCCTGCTATGTGTGTGTGTTGTAGTCTGTAATAATCTTGTACTTTAGTGACTGAAACATAAGTTCTTGGTAACAGATCTTGATTGTGTTAAGGGTTGTTAAAACCTCTAGTTAACAATGTGGTGATCTGTGAGAGCACTTCCAATGCTCACTTAATAATTAGGCAAGATTTGTCAACCACAAGTTTCAACACCGTAGACAAGACAAAGTGTAATCAAGGTAAATAGTAGCGAACTAGATAGTGATCAATAATTATAGTATGGTAGAGGGCAAAAAACGAACAGTGGCATTTACTTATTTTACTTAAAAATACTTACTTACTTACAAATAAACATAATGAGCTCACACAAGTACACTATTAAGATTAAGTAAAACACTTGGAAGAATAATTGCAGGTGGTTCTTCGCGTATGAGCACCACGAACCGTAGAAGTAAGATAGTGGTTCATGGTGAGACTCACTGGTGTTGGCGACCGTCATGTGAATATAAAAGTATAGTGTGTGTTTATCTCGTCGCTGGTTCGGAATTTCACAGCCAACTTTAGGTGAGCTGTTAGAGATGACTTACTTCACTCTAGGATAACTAAGGCACGTACAAGATCCTGAGATGAATAAAAGAAGTGTTAGACAGCGTTACAGATGAGCCAATGTGTTAGTTTATAGAGTAAGCTGGGTAGGTGAGGGAGTGAGGGATGATGATCTTTGAGTCGGTGCTGGGTTTATATCGCCTCGTATGGACGTGGCTTGTGAATTACGTCACTTTTCTTTCCTGATAAATGATTAGTCGAATTTTACCGCCACGACGATCACACGATGTGCAGAGAGAGAGAAAGAGAGAGGGGAGAGGAGGTGGGAGGAGGGGGGTTGAGCGGCGGGTGGAACTTTCCCAATTGAGTGGTGTCTCCCAAGGGAAGGCCTACACCCGCTACTGGAACCTGCCGACGATCTGAATGAGGCTGTCTTAACTCGACAGCTGTGTTCTTAATAACAGTACTCGTGACGTTTATGTTATCTGTGTAGAAGTTGACGATGGAAACACAAGATTGAAATTATTGTTTTATTAAATAATGATTAACTATACATGCTGACGTTTATACAAGAAAAAATTATTAACATACATTAACATTTATTAACAGTTTGTGCTCACATTGTGCAGTTGAAAGTGAATAATGGTAAAGTATATACATTATCTGTACATATTTACAAATAAACACAATAATATATAAGTCAACATTGAGTATTTGTGTCCCGTTACTTTATGTAGTTAACAGTCAGTTGAAGGGAACATAGAGACTGTTCTTACTCTCGTGCGGAACCTCTGTTCCATCAACCCACCACCCACCCTCACATCCACACCTCCTTCATCCATTGTGTTGGACGGATGCCCGTAGATCACAGGGCCGAGATCATCCACCTCCGTAGATGTGGTCCTGTAGATCAATCTTTCCTCGGAGTGCTGGTCGGGAGAGCAGTGAGGGCTGCTGTAGTTCACTTTCCCTTGTTTCTCTTGTTTCTGCTGAAACTTATTTCCTTTTTCTGGTTCATCTTCCTAACTACCAGGAATGTTATGATGGTGATGATGATGACCGCAACTATGGCTGTTATGATGACTGACATACCAGGAAGACGGGGTTATTTGGGGCTTTCTCGAGTCGTCGACGGGTGAGTTTTCTGTAGAGGTTTTGGCTTCTTCGTCTTCTGTGATGACTGGCGCCTGTGGTGGATGAAGACCCGCGGGTGTTTTTGTTGACGTTGATTGCGCGTCCTTGGCTTGATCTGGTGATGGTCGACCTGGCGAGCTTCTTGGCGGTGGTGGTCGTAGTGTTGGTGGCTGTGTTGAAGGAGGGAAAAACTCACTGGGATTACAACTGGGAGCATAGAATGCATTTCCACCGATGAAGATTACAAACTTATTGGCTCTGTAGAAATTAATACTCAATACTGTTCGCATATCACCTTCTATGCGTAAGTTATATTTCATTTTGTTCAATCCCTCGTTCTCGCTCATCTTAATGTAGTACCATTTGTCTGTTTGGTTCAAGATTTTCTTATCAGCCGTAATTTCTCTACTCATTCCAAATTCCGTCGTTATCTTAACTTGTAAGAAGTTGAAGTCCTGGCCGGGTTTAAGGTAGAATGAGAAGTCTGCCGAATTGGTTGCCACAGCAAGACACTTTTTGTTACCATATGGCGTGTTGAGGCTATTGGTTTGGCAGCCATGGTGGTCGTCGTAGGTGCTAGAACAGGTCTGGCAGGCCGCGGAACCACAGTGTACAGCACCGCCAGGCCCAGCACCGAGTGTCTCAGCATCTTGATGATGGTTGCACTCGCCTCTCTCACCTCTGACTCACTAATGTTATTATGCTCAGAGGTTTGTAAGAGTTGATGTCGTTCTTACAAGTCACGAACCCGTATTAATGGATCTTGAAGAAGACAAATAATTGTTCTGTTACACTTTCGATAATCACATTCGTGTTGGTGTAGTCTGGAGAGATTTGAGGACAAAATCTATCACGTATCTCCCAAGACCTAAAGACATTGCTCTCGTCTTCACTGAACACCGTGACGGAGGAGCCTCAGTAACTGACGCCAGACACACGCCACAACACACAAGTCTTAAAGCACACCTTAGAGCGTCGTACTTATGTTGTGTCCTTGTGGCGAGTGGCGAGTGTGAGCCAGAGGGGAGGGCGTCGCTTCATTATATCCTCGACGCAGTGGCCCTTGGAGTTAGTCACTTCCTCTTACTGCCTCACACTTCTTGATATCGTCACCACCGTGGACTCTCTGGAGCACTGGAGAGATGTGACGGCCCTGACGGTGTTCCACAAGGCCCAGGTCCAAGACATGCCTCACCTGGCGGGACTCAAGCTGCCCCTACGAGTTGCGCAGAGGCCACAAGGGCGGTGCTGTCGAGCGTGCAGCTGGTGGAGGTCACGAGCTAGTCAGCATCAGAGGACCTTCATGACCAGAGTTTAACGACTGTGGAACCTCTTCACGGCGGACATCCCGGATGTTGATTACCCAACAAGTTAAGATGGCCGCTCATAGATGGCGAGCGACACTCCCAATTCCGCTGATTCGTCTGCCAACCTGACTTACTCGTTTGTCCACAACACGTCAAATGAGCTCAACAATTTTAGTGTATTACTATATATTTCTTTGATAATATCCACTCTGTCTACATTATTATATTTTTAGTGGCTTTCATTAATCCAATGTCCTTAACTATGTACTGTGTGATAACTTAATGTAACAATCCTGGGGAAGGTTTTTCAGATAGGATAGTTATCATGTGGTTAGGCCAGAACCTTGTCAGTGATCCCCTTGTAATCAGCTGTTAAAATAAAATAAAAATAAAAACAAGACCAGGACAGTGTCAACACAACCAGACGACCGAGCTACAGGAAATAGTCTTAAGACCTCTGAGCAAAGTGTTTATATTTGTTTGAAAGTTCCCTCCGCCGCTCACGGTTTCAGTCTATCTAATTATTAAGTTTTTATTCGATTCAGTTTTAAATGTGTTTATTTAGTGGTCTTCCTTATAACTAGTGTTGTGTGCCACTTGGTTTAGTCATCAGTTCGAGCATCAATAGTTAAGGACTATTGAGAAGTGATCAACGTGTTAGTGTTGTTAAAGGAAGGTCTTTGTTATTGTGTCGTGACTGCGAGGCGTCAACTCCAGCACTGACGCACTTACTGGGAACTCCACTTTCTAATGGCGGGTGGTCGTCCTCCTTCGGTTATTGGTCTCACAGCTGGGCCTCGGAGGATGTTTTTCGGTACTTTGTCTCGTTATTTTTAATGGAAATGTAAGAATATTTCTCCTTTATATTTACTGGTTATTTTATTATTATTATTATTATTATTATTATTATTATTATTATTATTATTAGTAGTAGTAGTAGTAGTAGTAGTAGTGAAACAAAATGCATAGTCTTATGAAATACAGTCAACATAAATTTTACATAGACTTGAAATGCATAAAGAACTGTTTTATATAATAACATAAATTTTTATACTTAAGAAATTTACCAGTCACCTAAGTGAACTTAATAAGTGTACTTCATAAGTGTTTCTAAGCTGCTAAGTGTATTCATTTAATGGTGCCCCTTGAAAATCCAGTGGGGACACACACACACACACACACACACACACACACACACACACACACACACACACACAACAAACACACAACCACCTAGAGCCGTGTATTAATTACCTTTATATCCCTACAGGAGATAGAGTTGGATGTGAGCGATGTCCCGACCCTACACCTGAGCCCTCACCTGTGTTTGAGGTAAGTGTCGTTGTCTTAATTCTTCTTTCTAAATACTCTTAAGTATCCGTTATAAGTATTTGCTATAAGTCACTACACGAGCATAATGATCTAAAGTGTCCCCCCCCCCCACCATCGTTATCACTAGCATATTTATGGGCTCTTGTCAACAATTGGGTGATTAAGGTGGCCAGGTGTGGTGATTTATTATGTTTACCTGGTGTGTGTAAAGGGTTGATGATATGGGGAGGAGGGAAGGATGGGGAGGAGGGAAGGGGCTGGGGAGGAGGGAAGGGGTGGGCTTGGGGAGGAGGGAAGGGTGGGTTGGGGAGGAGGAGGGGTGGGCTGGGGAGGAGGGGGGGTGGGCTGGGGAGGAGGGAAGGGGTGGGCTGGGAGAAGGAAGGGGTGGGGAGGAGGAGGTGGCTGGGGAGGAGGAGGGGGGGGGAGGAGGGAAGGGCTGGGGAGGAGGGGAATCTCATGGGGGAGGGAGGTGGGAGAAACTAAGAAACAGAGAGAGAAGACGGAAGGGGCGAGGGGAAGTCGTATCCGGGGGAGGGGGAGTTGTGGGTTATCTTTGGGGGAGGGAAGTCGTATCCTGAGGGGAATTTCCACAGGGGATCAGTCATACAGGACGGGGTGAGCGACGAATGCCAGGATGACATTCTCTCTCATTAGCTGAAGATTAATTCATTCACCCTTACCTTTTTATGAGTTTAGAGAGAGAGAGAGAGAGAGAGAGAGAGAGAGAAAATGACAGTCTACCCAACGTTTCTAAAGAGTTTCAATGTATACAAACGTTTCCCTAATATAGTCATTCCCTTGTAAATAATATCATTGGATGTTGATTGTGTCTTGTAAATGTAAATGAATTTAAATCTTTTCACCTTTGAAAAAAAATGTGGTGAAAATATTTCAATAGTTTTATTAATCAAGGTGGAAATGCTCTCTCTCTCTCTCTCTCTCTCTCTCTCTCTCTCTCTCTCTCTCTCTCTCTCTCTCTCTCTCAACAGGGGACTGTCAGAGAAGCCTTACTTTCATACGTCTGCTCTCCCCTCTCACTCCCTCTCTTCCCTCTCACGTCCCCTCTCCGTTTCTTCTCTTTTCTCTCCTCCACACCTCACTCCTCTCCCTATTCTTCCCCATTCCTGTCTTTCCGTTCTTCCTATTTCTCTCTTATTCCCCCACTTTATCCTCAAATTTTTCATCTTCCATTCCCCCTCCCTCACCTCCTCCACCCACATCACCTCACCCCCCTCCACACATGCTTTACCCCTCCTCCCCCACCTCACCTCACTTCCCTCCTCCACCATCACCTCACCTCCCCCCCCACCTCCACCCCCTCACGTCACCTCCACCTCCCCCACCTCACCCTCACCCCTTCCCTCCCACCCACCTCACCCTCACCCCCTCCTCCACCACGTCACCCCTCACCCCTCCTCCCCCCTCCCACCCTCCCACCCCTCCCCCTCCCACCTTCACCTCCTCCACCACCTCACCCTCACCCCCCCCTCCACCTCCCCTCCCCCCCATCCCACCTTCACCCCTCCTCCCACCACATCACCCTCACCCCCTCCTCCCACGTCCGTCCTCCTCACCCCTCCTCCCACCACGTCTAACAGACACACACACACTCACAGGTTGTACCATAAGACAAAGCCCTAAGATGATGCACTGTATTTAAAGACTGTCCACTCTCTCTGTACTGTCAACCTTGGTGTTGTACATTCCTATTTCAGGCTTATTTTTTTTTTTACAAAGTGTACCATCAATTACAGCTGTATTTTGTATTGTGTCCTGTACACCTAGTGTTATTACAGTTACATTACATTAGTTGAAGTATTGATTACAGTCTCTCTCTCTCTCTCCTCTCTCCTCTCTCTCTCTCTCTCTCTCTCTCTCTCTCTCCTCTCTCTCTCTCTCTCCCAGGCGCCGTGGCCCACCTCCACCTGACTTGAATCTAATGGGGAGAAATGGGGGAATGGGGAAGATAAGGGGAGGGAGGGTGTATCTGTCTGTCTGTCTGTCTCTCTAGTGGTGTCTGTCTGTCTGTCCATGTGTGTGTGTGTGTGTGTGTGTGTGTGTGTGTGTGTGTGTGTGTGTGTGTAAACTTTCTAATAATTTTTCCTCCTTTTCCCATGCCTGCCCCCTTACCCCTTACCCCCTCACCCTTCTCACCCCCTACCCTTCAAAAAATGGGTGATCGATAGTTAGTGCTTGTTCCGTTGACCGATATACTAACGAGGCCATTAATAACTTCCGGCTGTTAACAAGAAGTGGAAGGAGGGAGGGGGAAGGGAGGAGTAGAGAAGAGGGAGGGAGAGAGGAAGAAGAGGGAAGAAAAGAGGAGAGGAAGAGGAAGGAAGAGATATGGAGAGGTTACAGGAGTTCAGATCAGATTATTATTATTATTATTATTATTATTATTATTATTATTATTATTATTATTATTATTGTTATTATTATTTTTTATTGTTGTTGTTGTTGTTGTTGTATTATTATTATTATTATTATTATTATTATTATTATTATTATTATTATTATTGTTATTAGGTAAACATTAATACATTATAACATCAACATATTGTACTAGTGTGTGTGTGTGTGTGTGTGTGTGTGTGTGTGTGTGTGTGTGTGTGTGTGTGTGTGTGTGTGTGTGTGGTCAATGTGTATGTGTGTATAGGCATCAAATCCTCACAAGGCACTAAAGTCTTCACCCGCTGTTCTGTGACGTCTGTTTCAGCACCGTTCTGTGACGTCTGTTCAGCACTATTCTGTGACGTCTGTTCAGCACTGTTCTGTGACGTCTGTTTCAGCACTGTTCTGTGACGTCTGTTCAGCACTGTTCTGTGACGTCTGTTCCTTTTCATTCTGTGACGTCTATTCCAGCACTGTTCTGTGACGTCTGTTCAGCACTGTTCTCTTGACGCCTGTTCCAGCACTGTTCTGTGACGTCTGTTCAGCACTGTTCTGTGACGTCTGTTCAACGTATTTCTGTAGCGTCTGTTCCCAGCACTGTTCTGTGACGTCTGTTCGGCACTGTTCACATGACGTCTGTTCAGCAGCACTGTTGTTCTGTGACGTCTGTTCCCATACCTGTTCTGTGACGTCTGTTCCTTTTCTGATGTGACGTCTGTTCAGCACTGTTCTGTGGCGTCTGTTCCTTTACTGTTCTCCCCATCGCCCTCAAAAATAGCGCGTCACTTGAGCATTGCTTTACCTGGCCGTGCCGAGTTTGGTCTTCAACGACACTTACCTGGCTTCGGGGGAGAGGAGGAGATTGGAGTGAGGGAAGAAGGGATTATAGTCTAGTGCACAGTGCCAGTGTCGTCATTCTGGTTATCAAAGTGAATGTTTTTCCCGTCTTGTATATCTTTATCCCAATTACACCTGGAATTAGTCTTTCTCTAATTAGTAAAAGGGTTAATTGATTTTACCTTAATGTTACACTGGCCAGGTGAGTGCCAGTAAGAGGTCATGTGTGCAAGTTTAACGCTCGTGGGGGTTTTTAATCCCTCATGTGTGTGTGTGGGGGGGGTGGGGGGTGGTATTTGTGTGTGTGTGATGTGGTTAGTTCCTTGGCCGAGTTGACGACGGCAGGTAGCATGGTGTGCCCCGTCTCTTGTTAGAAATTTTAGACGGAAATCGGTGTTGTGTTGTGTTGTGTTGTGTTGCGTTAACGTTCAAAGAGTAAAAGAAAAAATATTTAAAAACAATACACTGATACATTGATAAATTTACATATCTTCTGTTACTTGAAAATATCTACGTTTATTTAATTACGTCTTGGAAATGAATTATGACGCATTTGTCTCTTGTTTTGTTCATCCTGTCTCTTGTTTAAAACCCTGTGGATAATGTCTTTGTCTTTTGTTGGGAATTATTCCTGGGATCCAGAGTGTAGTGTTTATGTGGGGCAAAGATTTAACAGAAAGTCTTCAGGATGTTTTGGTTTTGTGCCTTGGTGATGGAGTATCCGGTTGGTGGTGTGTGTGTGTGTGTGTGTGTGTGTGTGTGTGTGTGTGTGTGTGTGTGTGTGTGTGTGTGTGTGTGTGTGTGAGGAAGGCGCTTATAAGATGGTGGTCGCACTGGAAAATGCTTGGTAACCCCTGGTCTAGATAATAACAACAATAATAATAATAATAATAATAATAATAATAACAATAATAATAATAATAATAACAATGATAATAACAATAACAATATCTGATCATTGTGTCTTGACTTGAAAACAAAAGAAAAGCAACAAAACTAATTACTTTCTCCAGAAGACGACACTTAACAAACTGTGTCGTCCAATTTGTAGCTCCAATTTACTCCGTCACTAAATATCTCTCACCTGTTGTCACTTACAGAGCTCAGGTTTGTGTTAAGTCTTCCTACACACGAACTTAATTGAAAACTTTATCAGAACTGTCAAGGTTAAGTTTGTGTTGACCGCCTGTGGTGTTAAGTTGTTGTTGATTTTACTGCAGTTGAGGTTGGGGAAATGTTTATGGGGGTGTCCGAGTGGCCATGTGTCTCATTGTCGTGTCGTTTTCTCTACTTTATTCATTATTTCTCTTATTTGTCTCTCTTTCAGTAAAGTAACTCGTTGTTCTCGGTGGTGTGTCAGAGTAACTTGTGTTGTTGTTGTTGTTGTTGAGGCGTGACGCAGTAGGTCTCAAGGATGAACGGGAAGGACAACCTCTCGGTGATGAGAGTGTCTCGCTCACTGGACTTCCAGATCCTCAGAAGTTCCTTTTTGAGGAAACCCAAAAAGGAAAAGGATGCCTCCCCCAACCTCTCGCGGGAGAAGAGAAGCGAGAAGGACCCCAGCAGCGTCTCACCCAACAAGGGCGGTTCACCCATGCTGGAGGAGGACCCAGCGAGGAGAGGCACCGTCAGCCTCGACAACATCACCGAGGACAACACCAGCAGCAGGAAGTATACCTCGGGTGTCTTAGTTTCACCCTCGAGGGATAGTTTGAAGGACAAGTTCTTCGGGAGGATGAGGGGGCTGTATGAGAGTAAGGATGACCTGGAGGA